GAACCGTCCAGGAGGTGCTCGTGTCAGTGATGGGTGGCACACCACCAGGTCTGGGGGTCCCCATGTCACCTGGAGGGTGTCTGAACAGGGTTTGGGGTTATTCCCTACTGCTGCCCCCCCAGGTCTTCACCCCAAAGCCCTGGCCCAGGAGGGCATGTTGGTGGCTGCAGATTCTCCAGAGTCCCCTGCCTTCAGCGAGACTGCTCCCATGACCACTCCTCATGTCCAAGGCCCAAACCTCTTTTTCTATATAACATACAGGATTCAGATTTTCTTAATATGTAGAGACATTAGCCTACAGGTAGCCAAAAAGTGACCACTGTTCTACCTTTGGCTTGGAGTTGTTTGCAGGGCTGGTCCAGGTCTCCACCACAGGGGTATGCCCCAGGGGAACTTGCTCACTGCAGCATCCCTGCTGCCTCATCTCACACGGAGTTTTCCTTTTTTTCTAAAAAATGCCAGAACAAACTGGGAAGAAGACAAAGGGTAAGAAAAGTGACCCGAGAAGGAAAGGAAGAGATGGTAGAAAAAGTAGTCCTGAGAAGAAAGAGAAAAGGAAATCAGTCAACGAAACTGTATTGGGACAACTGGGTAAGTCTGATTTTTATGGGCGCAGAGTTGACCCGTGCCGCTGGAGGCTCCCTGTTTTGGGGAGCAGGGTTAAGAGTCCCAGCCCCTGATCCCTCCTGCACGTCTGTGGTGGAATTAAACCCAAGGCCATGGGAACCTCTTCCCTTGTAGGCATCAGCCTGAATTACTGAGGTCCTGTGGGAGAGACTGTGTCAGACATGGTCCCTGGCAGGGCAGGGGGTATAAAATCACCCCCACAGCCCAAGGGCTTGTGTCTGGATTGGGAGAATGCATTACAAAACCTGTGATGTGCTGCTGAAGCATTGTTTTGTTTTCCGGTGATAAAATCAGACTTACCCACCCCGCAGTAGGGCTGATCTCCCGTATCTCTGTATGGCACATATAACGTGTGGGCTGCGCGTTTCCATGGCATGCACTGCCCAGCGCCGCGAGGCTGTGCTGGTGGGCTGGGAACATCCAGGAGGCAGGCACAAAGTGCGGCTGGTCTCTGGAATTTGCTTGGGGGGCGACGGGATGCGGGCTGGCTCTGAGGATGCTTCACCCACCTCTCGCTCTTCCCATCGGCTGCAGCCTGCTGGCGCTCGGCAGCAGACAGGGCTGGGGAGGGAGATTAAAAAGACAGAAGAAAAATGTCTTTTTTGACAAGATCTGTGACAACTGCGTATGGTTTTTACATGCAATTGGGTTTCTGTTTGACTTCTTCTGATGCTCTCACCTCTGCCAGCATGCAGTGTGACGAGTTCACATGTGCTCAGCTACCCCATGGGTGCACAGGGGGTGAACCGGTCCTGTGGGGCTCTCTGACATCCCAGGAGTGCTATAAAACCTGCCTGAGGGTACAGAGTGTTTTTGGGAGCGGTCTGGGGCACCCTGCCTTGCTCTGCTTTTGCCCATTGCTCACTTTGGCTCTGCTGCTTTCTGTTCATCTCAAAGCTGTTGGGTTTTAGGCGAGAGCCCCTTTGGAAATGGGGCTTCTGTGCTAATCCTGTCTATGCGCTGTTTTCTGTTGAAGAAACTTGGGATTTTCTGGGGAAATTCCATCAAATGATGGAGGGATGGAGTGTCTCTGAGAACAGCTGCCCTGCTGCAAGCGTGGGAAGCCAGGCAGCCAACCCAAACCGTCACCAGGGTCTTGTAACCTCCTGGGTTTTGTTAAGGGCTTGAAACGTTGCTTGGGGCCGCAGGCATTGGAGAAGGGCTGAGGGAAGACACCCTTGGCAGCGCCCTTGCCTTGCTGGCAGGACCTCGGGCTGTTTGGCGCCTGGGTACCATGCAGTGCCCTAAGCTCATCCCTGCTCCTGCTTCCCCAGCCCTGCACTGGGCTGCTGCCAGGGTGGGGGGGCTGTCTTATCCTGCGGTCACTCATCCACGCAGCATGGAGGCATGGGCTCACATCCCATATTGCTGCTGACAGGAGGGTGATGCAAAGCTGTCATCGAGGCCGGCAAACATTGTGGACATGGGTGGCAGTGCCTGTGCCACTGCTCTTT